GTCAGTTTTCTGGCCTGCCACAGGTAGCAAGGGGTGACGGGGCACTCTTATAAAGGAAACACATGTAATTTGGTGGCTTAAAGTTCAGATGTTTAGCCAGTTATCATCACGGTGCGACACGGTGGCGTGCAGACAGACATGGTACTAGAGCACTAACTAAAACCCTACAGCTTGTGGCAAGGAACAGGAAGGGAACTGTCTCACTGGGCATGGCTTGGGCATACGTGAGACCTCAAAGCCTGCCTCCACAGTGACGCACTTACTACTTTTGAATGTCATCTCCTTTAAAGTCAAATCCTAGGAAACATCATTTCTGTGGTGGTTTGAAAGAAAATGGCTCCCAGAGGGAATGGCACTTTTAGGAAGTGTGGCTTTGTTGGAGTAGATGTGACCTTATTGGAGGAAGTACGTAAGCTCCTCATTGTTGTCTAGGTTCTCTGGGATTGTGAATTGTAGGCTGGTTTTTCTTTGCTTTATGTCTAAAAACCACTTATGAGTGAGTATATATGATATTTGTCTTTCTGGGTCTAAGTTACCTCACTCAATGCGACGTTTTCTAGATCCATCCATTTGCCGGCAAATTTCAAGATGTCATTATTTTTTTTCTGCTGTGTAGTACTCCATTGTGTAAATGTACATCTTCATCCATTCTTTGGCTGAGGGGCATTTAGGTTAATTCCAAGTTCTGACTATGACAAATAATGCTGCTACAAACATAGTTGAGCACATATCCTTGTGGTATGATTGAGCATTCTTTGGATATATACCCAAAAGTGGTATTGCTGGGTCTTGAGGAAGGTTGTTTCCTAATTTTCTGAGAAATTGCCATATTGATATCCAAAGGGGGCTGTACCAGCTTGCATTCCCACCAGCAATGAAGGAGAGTTCCCTTTACCCTACAACCTCTCCAGCATAAGTTGTCATCAATGTTTTTTTATCTTAGCAATTCTTACAGGTATAAGATGGAATCTTAGAGTTGTTTCAATTTGCATTTTTCTGATGGCTGTGGGTGTTGAGCTATGTAAGGCAGAACTTCTTTTATGCCACTGCATATTCCAGGCTAGCTAGCCCATGCGTTGCTGGAGATTCTTCTGCCTCTGCCTTGCAGCTCACCATGGGAGTGCTGGGATTACAGATGCATGCTACTTGTCTGACTTTTATTTAGATTCTGGGGATCTGAACTCAGGTCCTCATGCATGTACTGCAAGCACTTTGTCCACTGAGCAATTCCCTCAGCCTTCAAAGGAGCCATCCTTTTTTTTTAATTCTTTGACAAATTTATTCATGAAAACTATGTATTTTTTCATCTCCTCCCCAATTCCTTCCTGTTTATGCTAATTAACCTCTCCTTGTTTCCAAGAAGTCACCCTACAAAGGAATAATCTTAACACAGGGAAGACATTGTTAGTAGAGAGTTGGCAGACAGGAAAGATGGGATCAAAGTGAAAAATAACAATATCACTCAAGAATGAGTAACTACTCAGAGCTCATAGAAATTTGTTTACTTCCCACTATTTATTATTTAAATAGGTATGAAATGATAATTTCAAATCCAGTTTATGTTTGGATTCTTCACTTCTATTTAGCGTGACACTTTCCCTTTCTGCTCCATAGTTTGATCTCTTTTGAAATCTCTCAGTTCACAGTTCCCTCAATCACTCTGAGTACTCTATTATTTAACTCCCTTGGTAACTTTTCTGCTTGAATTATCAACTCTGATTATTTCTAGTTCTTTGTAATTATTCATGACATTTGATTTCCTCTATGCTTTGGAAACTTCATGAGGTCCTCTTTAGAACTATCTTCTATAAGGTTCCTTTCTTCAGCATATTTGCTTTCAGGGTCACCCTTGTCATGGATTTATAGGGTTCAACTTTGTTCAGTCAGATGACAGGTCATACTTATAACTATACGTTGATTTTCGGAGATGCAAAGAGAAGTTACCAGGTTCAGAGAGCAGTACACCTCTACCGAAGTCATCCTGAATGATGACAATAAAGAGGGCAGTTCATTTAGGTTAGACTACGGTCTCCCAACCATGACTTGTAGGACACCTCCAATCTGCTGTCTGCTTTTCAAGTCCTATAAACTGAGAAGGGGCTTTTACATTTTTTAAATGATTGCTTCGAAATTTTAATTATGTAAATGTGTGTGTGTGTGTGTGTGTGTGTGTGTGTGTGTGTGTGTGTGTTTAGGCATACGAATGGGAGTGAAGTGCCTGTGGAGCCCAGAAGAGAATAGCATCTCTCCTGCAGCTGCAGTTAAACAGGAGGTCATAAGCTTCCCTCTGTGGGCACTAGTAATTGAACTCAGGTCCTCTGTAGGAGTAGTATCCTCTCTTAACTGCTGAGCTATCTCTTTAGCCTCTGAGTCTTTATGTTTTCAAGCTGTTGAAACAAATATGAACATTCTGTGACATGTGAAAAGGACATGAAATAAAAATGTCAGCATCTATAAACAAAGATTTCCTGAGAACACCATGCCTAGTTGTATACATATGACTTGAATCCCCCAGAAGCAATGTTTAGCAATTCAACAGAGACCATATGGCTCACAAGGTCTAAAACATTTACTATTTGGCTTTTGAAGAAATACTTTCTTTGGTCATTTAATTGCAATCATTCCTGGTTTCAAAATGAAAGTACACTCCTTAGATGTCTCTTCTGGTATAAGAAGTCAGCAAATGAAAGATCAAGCGAAAGGCTGTTATTCTTGTCAATCCTTGAAAATATTAAAAGGACTTAAAAAAATTCTCTGTCCTTTCAGCAAAATATGTCATTCCCTAGCATGACCACCAGATGGTGACTTCGGTGACACTTCAATGGTATCAGTGTTCTACTGAGGATAACACTTGGTGTATGATTTAAAAACTCTCTCAGCACGATACGCATCAAGATAAGCTAAATATTGCCAAACTCCGAAGAGGCTTGCTGGAAAAACAGGCTGAGGCTTCAAGTTTGGCTTTGATGGAAGCGAAAGCTTCCTTGGCTTAAGCAATCGATGCTTGGTCTCAAAAACATAATATAGGCAGAAAAACGTACTTTCTAATAAGGCAGACAGGAAACTGCAGCGCTGGAGAAGTGTCTTTGAAAAATCACCTTGATATTTCATTTTTAAAGTAAATTATTTTTTAAATTTGTTTTTACATTTTTATGTAAAACTGTAAAATTCCATTTTGGGATGTCTGTGTATGGCACATCTTGTATGGAGGTCAGAGAATGACTCGGGAGGGGGATGTTGGTTTTCTTCTTCTGTCATGTGGGTACACAGGATCCAGCTGAGCTCTTTAGGCTTGGTAGCAAGTGCCTTTATCCACTGAACCAACGCCCTGCTCCAGGGCTCCATCCTATAAAAGCAGCACTACATGTGACTCTGTTGTAGGTTTTGTAGTTAGGGGAGGATTTCAGCATGTTCTTCAAGGGGTCGTGAGCTAGAAGCTTGGCGAACAGAGTAGCACACTCACAGGGGACTGATGTGCTTATCCCAGAACTGAATTACTTCCAGTGAGAATGATTTGCTATAAAGCTGGCTTAGCTACCTCACTTCTTGTCTAATTTACCACATAATATGCTCCTCTTGGATATGTTCCCACCGTCATGATGCCACCACGTGAGGCTCTCACTGGAGCCAAGATATGCCCATGTCACGCTCTAGATCAGTGGTTCTCAACCTTCCTAATGCTGCAGCCTTTTAATACAGTTTCTCGTGTTGTGCTGACCCCCAACCATACAATTACTTTATTGCTACTTCATGATTGTAATTTTGCTACTATTATGAATCCTAATGCAAGTGTCTGATATGCTTGATATTTGATATGCAACCCCGAAAGGGGCTTTGACCCGCAGGTTGAGAATTGTTGCTCTAGGTCCTTAAGGAGTGGGCTAAATAGCTTTTCTTTATATAGTACTCAACTTGGGGTATTTTTTTATAGCAAGATGAAATAAACTAAGAGGAAAGACAATCTGAAGATCACATATTTTAAAATACTGGTCTTAGGACATGTCTTGTGTCAGCCTGACCGGAGCAGCAGCTAATGGATCAAATTACCAAGTCCGAGCACATACACAGAAATTGGGGCCTACTTCATGGGCAGCTGTTCTGATATGTGGGTTAGAGTGCAGTAAGGCCTGTCTCAAATTCCAGCAATCAGGGAGAGGGTCAGAAAGGGCAGTCAAGGCTCTATTCAAATGGAATGGCCCTCAGGCAGAGCTCTCTCAGAACTGCTAGGCTGTTTGGGGGAAGTGTTAAATGGAATGAGGGCCTCTGTGATGGGATGCCAAAGGCCAGAGCGACAGGAGCCATCCTAGATCCAAGATACTCGACTTTAGTAGGATTGCCTTAGGTTGAATCAGGTGGGGCTAATATAGAGCCTCAGTGGTGAAATATCTTTGCATTTTCAGGATAATAAAGGCTCTTGTAGTGATTCTCTTCTTTTGGGTTTCTGATTTCAAACTGTAAGCGTATTCAAAAACCTATACAAGCTCTTGTGATAGAATTAAGTATAGAAATTTCCAGATGTTCTTCCTTCCAAATACGTTCTGCTTTTTTAGTATAGCATTCACTTTCTTCTGCAGTGCTGGGGATCAAACCCAGGACCTCGTGCATAGACTAGGTAGGCTACACAAACATTCTACTACTGAGCAACATCCCCAGCCTATACCGCTCAAATATAACGTTCAGCATAATGGTCAAAGATGCTTCCAAAACATAACCAAGCCCTTTTAAGATCTGTTACAAGATGTTTTAAAATGAGTATTGTTGTGGAATATTCTTTTACACTGCTTGAAGATGCGTCACTGTGATTGGCTTAGTAAAAAGCTAAATGGCCAATAGCAAGGCAGGAGGTATAGCAGGGACTTTGGAAAAGAGAAAGCTCTGGGAACAAGAAGGGTGGAGTTGCCTTACACACAGAGAAGAAACAGGAGGTGCAAGATGAAAGAGAGGTTAACACCACCTGACAAACCATAGATTAATGCCTTCCTTCTTTCTCTCATGCCTAGCACAATGGCGGCGGCCGCGGCGGAGCAGCAACAGTTCTACCTGCTCTTGGGAAACATAATCAGCCCTGACAATGAGGTCCGGAAACAGGCGGAGGAAACCTATGAGAATATCCCAGGCCAAACCAAGGTCATGTTCCTCTTACAAACCATCAGAAATACAACAGCTGCTGATGAGGCTAGACAAGTGGCCGCTGTTCTCCTAAGGCGTCTTTTTTCCTCAAATGAAGTCTATCCAACTCTGCCATCAGATGTCCAGACTGCCATCAAGAGTGAACTGCTAATGATTATTCAGATGGAGACAGAATCTAGCATGAGGAGGAAAATCTGTGATATTGCTGCAGAGTTGGCCAGGAATTTAATAGATGAGGATGGCAACAACCAGTGGCCTGAGGGTTTGAACTTCCTCTTTGATTCCATCAGCTCACAGAGCATGGGACTCCGGGAAGCTGCCCTTTACATATTTTGGAACTTTCCTGGGATTTTTGGGAACCAACAGCAGCACTATTTGGATGTCATCAAGCAGATGTTAGTTCAGTGTATGCAAGATCAAGAGCATCCTTCGATCTGGACATTGTCGGCCAGAGTTACAGCCGCCTTCATACTAGCCAACGAGCATAATGTCGCTGTGTTCAAACACTTTGCAGACCTGCTACCTGGGTTCTTAAAGGCTGTCAATGACTCGTGCTATCAGTACGACGACTCAGTCCTCAAGTCTCTTGTGGAGATAGCGAACACTGTTCCGAAGTATTTGCGTCCTCATTTAGAAGCAACTCTACAGCTAAGTCTGAAGTTGTGTGGAGACGCCAACCTCTACAATATGCAGCGCCAACTTGCCCTCGAAGTGATTGTGACCCTGTCTGAAACCGCAGCTGCCATGTTAAGAAAGCATACCAATATTATTGCACAGACTATTCCTCAGATGCTGGCCATGATGGTTGATCTAGAAGAAGATGAGGACTGGGCAAATGCTGATGAGCTAGAAGATGATGACTTCAATAGCAATGCAGTTGCTGGTGAGAGTGCCTTGGACCGGATGGCCTGTGGACTTGGTGGAAATCTTGTTTTGCCAATGATCAAGGAACACATTATGCAGATGCTTCAAAACCCTGACTGGAAGTACCGGCATGCAGGATTGATGGCCTTATCTGCCATCGGAGAAGGATGCCATGAGCAAATGGAGGGAATTCTGAATGAGATTGTGAACTTTGTCTTGCTTTTTCTCCAGGATCCTCACCCAAGAGTCCAGTATGCAGCCTGCAATGCTGTGGGTCAGATGGCTATGGATTTTGCACCTGGTTTTCAAAAGAAATTCCATGAGTAGGTGATTGCAGCTTTGCTTCAAACCATGGGAGATCAAGGCAACCAAAGGGTGCAGGCCCATGCGGCGTCTGCTCTCATTAATTTCACTGAAGACTGTCCCAAGTCGCTGCTCATCCCATACTTGGATAACCTGGTGAAGCACCTGCATTCAATTATGGTCCTCAAACTTCAGGAGCTGATCCAGAAAGGCACCAAGTTAGTCCTGGAGCAGGTTGTGACGTCCATCGCATCGGTTGCAGATACCGCAGAAGAGAAGTTCATTCCCTACTATGACCTGTTCATGCCATCCCTGAAGCACATAGTGGAGAACGCAGTCCAGAAGGAGCTGAGGCTCCTGAGGGGGAAGACGATCGAATGTGTCAGCCTCATCGGCCTGGCTGTGGGGAAGGAGAAGTTCATGCAGGACGCTTCAGATGTGATGCAGCTCTTGCTGAAGACCCAGACAGACTTCGGTGACATGGAAGACGACGACCCTCAGATCTCTTACATGTTCTCTGCATGGGCCAGAATGTGCAAAATCCTTGGGAAAGATTTCCAGCAGTACCTTCCCATGGTCATGGGGCCGCTGATGAAGATCGCTTCGATTAAGCCCGGAGTAACCTTTCTCCACACCCAGGACATGGAGAATATGAGTGATGATGGTTGGGAATTTTTGAACCTCGGAAATCAGCAAATTTTTGGTATTAAAACTGCAGGACTAGAAGAAAAGTCAACTGCTTGCCAGATGTTGGTTTGCTATGCTAAGGAGTTAAAGGAAAGTTTTGTGGAGTACACTGAACAGGTTGCCAAACTGATGGTCCCTCTGCTCAAGTTTTACTTACATGATGGGGTCCGAATGGCAGCCGCGGAGTCCATGCCCTTTCTGCTGGAGTGTGCGCGAGTCCGCGGTCCCGAGTACCTCATGCAGATGTGGTACTATATATGCGATGGGCTCATCAAAGCTATTGGCACGGAGCCTTACTCAGACGTGCTCTCGGAGATCATGCACTCGTTCGCAAAGTGCATAGACGTCATGGGAGACGGGTGTCTGAACAACAAGCACTTTGAGGAGCTGGGAGGTATATTGAAAGCCAAACTTGAAGAACATTTCAAAAATCAAGAATTGCGGCAAGTGAAAAGACAAGACGAAGACTATGATGAGCAGGATGAGGAGTCACTACAGGATGAGGATAATAATGATGTCTACATTCTGACCAAAGTGTCAGATATTTTACACTCGATATTCAGCAGCTACAAAGAAAAGGTGTTGCCGTGGTTTGAACAGCTGCTTCCATTCATTGTCAACCTGATTTGTCCACATAGACCATGGCCAGACAGACAGTGGGGATTGTGTATCTTCGATGATGTCATAGAACACTGTAGTCCAGCCTCATTTAAGTATGCAGAATATTTCTTAAGGCCAATGCTCCAGTATGTGTGTGACAACAGCCCAGAAGTCAGGCAAGCTGCGGCATATGGCCTTGGCATCATGGCACAATACGGTGGAGACAACTACCGCCCTTTCTGTACAGAAGCACTCCCACTGCTTGTAAGAGTTATTCAGTCTGCAGATTCTAAGGCCAAAGAAAACATCAATGCTACAGAGAACTGCATCTCTGCGGTGGGGAAAATCATGAACTTCAAGCCTGACTGTGTAAACGTTGAAGAAGTATTACCACACTGGTTGTCTTGGCTTCCACTACACGAAGATAAAGAAGAAGCTGTCCAGACCTTCAGTTATCTGTGCGACCTGATTGAAAGTAATCACCCAATTGTTCTTGGCCCAAACAATGCCAATCTACCCAAAATATTCAGTATAATTGCGGAAGGAGAAATGCATGAGGCCATTAAACATGAAGACCCCTGTGCCAAGCGCCTGGCCAATATAGTTCGCCAAGTACAGACTTCTGGAGGATTGTGGAATGAATGCATAGCACAGCTCAGTCCGGAGCAGCAGGCCGCCATACAGGAGCTCCTGAACTCTGCCTGACGGCCTTAATACCACCTGCCAGAAGCCAGAAAACTAACTCCAAATAAACGTTTACCATGCCTTTAATCCCAGCACTTGGGAGGCAGAGGCAGGTGGATCTCTGTGAGTTCGAGACCAGCCTGGTCTACAGAGCTAGTTCCAGGACAGGCTCCAAAGCCACAGAGAAACCCTGTCTCAAAAATAAAAAAAAACATAGATTAATATAAATAGAATAATTTAATTTATAAGAGCAAGTAGAGACACGCCTAAGATAAAAGGCCAGCTTTAATTAAGAAGTCTCTGTGTCACCAGGCAGTGATGGCGCACGCCTTTAATCCCAGCACTCCTGAGGCAGAGGCAGGCGGATCTCTGAGTTCAAGGCCAGCCTGGTCTACAAGAGTTAGTTCCAGATCAGGCATCAAAGCTACACAGAAAAACCCTATCTCAAAAAAAAAGAAAAAAGAAAAAAAAAAGGAAAAAAAAGAAAAAAGAAAAAAAAGAAAAAAGAAAAAAAAGTCTCTTTGTTATTTTTTGTGAGCTGGCAGCCCAAAGAAAAATCTGTCTACATTTGGTGACCAACATGGATGTTCGTATATCCACATAGGGTCTGAGAAAGCAGCCTCTAGAATAGGCTTGGCGTACAAAGGAACAACCCTTTTAAGAGGCCCTGCTGCATAGCTGAGCACTTGAGCAGCAGGCACTGGGTACAACTCCTGCTTCAGTCAGACACTACAAATTCCCAGCCATGGGGCAGGTAAATGCAGCTATGGGTTGTACCCGCAGATATGAGACTAGGCTCTCACGAATTGAGAAGGGCAGAGCCAGTCACCTGTGTATCATATGCTGAACAGATCCTTGCAATAGTACTATCATAGCTTAAGATTTGGCTCAGTTGGTCAAAGGAGACCACAGACCTGCCAAAATAAAACCAGGTTCAGGCTGACAAAAATCACTGTGAGAAGGTGACAGTGTGTGTTTAAAAATGAATTTAGAAGTAAAATAAATAAGAAGAAAATGGTTATAGATAGTCATAGAAAAATAAAGTTTAAAAATAAAAATAAAGTCTTTTAAAAAAGAGTAAAGTAATATAAAAAGAATAAATTATGTAAGGATGGGAAATACACAGGGCATCTTTGGTGACTTTGAATTTTTAGATGCTAATGTACAAAAGTAATATCTGCTGAGAGACATTAGATTATAGAAACTGCCAATTTAAACCAAGTAATATATTTTAAGAATGTCAGCAAATATGTTGCTTTTCGGAAAGGTTATGCTTTTGTTTCCACAGAAAGCAAAAAGTTTTGGTTCTCTTCAAAATTAATGAAATCAGATTTGATTGCGGAATGCCTCCTGAAAATGTTGGCTATGGACACGAAAAAAGAAATCCCAAAAGACTACAAGATAGGTGACGTCATGCTGATTTCTCTACTATGATAACTGCTCTGAGATAGGATGAGACATGGTAAGTCTTGTTCACTATAGAATCCTCATGACTTACTAGTTATATGTCATCCTTTCATATGGCATGGATAGAGTTTGGTTATATAGTCCAAATGGACTTATAAAGTTGAGAGATGCCTTTTACCTGCTCAAACACAAAAGAAAAAATTAATCTTAAATTGATTTGTACATACTGCACATTCCATTCTTGTGTTAATGCAGATATATACCTTTAAAATTTGTGTGTTTTAAGAAAAAAAAAGGACATTGAGCCTATAATTCGTGATCCTAGAGAAGCTAAATAAGAAGGTGAACCCAAAGAAAAACATATAGGAATCCTCCTGGATATTAACCTTCATCAGGCGATGAAAGGTGACAGAGACAGAGACTCACATTGGAGCATCGGACTGAAATCTCAAGGTCCAAATCAGGAGCAGATGGAGAGAGAGCACGAGCAAGGAACTCAGGACTGCGAGGGGTACACCCACACACTGAGACAATGGGGATGTTCTATCGGGAACTCACCAAGGCCAGCTGGACTGGGTCTGAAAAAGCCTGGGATAAAACCGGACTCGCTGAACATAGCGGACATTGAGGACTACTGAGAACTCAAGAACAATGGCAATGGGTGTTTGATCCTACTGCACGTACTGGCTTTGTGAGTACCTAGGCAGTTTGGATGCTCACCTTACTAGACCTGGATGGAGGGGGGAGGACCTTGGACTTCCCACAGGACAGGGAACCCTGATTGTTCTTCGGGCTGACGAAGGAGGAGGACTTGATTGGGGGAGGGGGAGGGAAATGGGAGGTGGTGGCGGGGAGAAGGCAGAAATCTTTAATAAGTGAATAAATACATAAATTAATTAAAAAATATTACATGCATGTATAAAATTCTCAAACAATAAAAAATGATATGAAAATAAATCTGCATCCAGAATGACTTCAAAGCTGCTGAGAGATGGTCCAGCCTCACAGACTATCCAACCAAGACTTCAGATAAGCTCTACACTTTTCTGTCACACAGAGACTAAAAACAAAAAATAGTACAGCTAGCTCTCCCAGGACTTGACCATTATCCCAATTTTCTAAACCCCAACTATCCCAAATTTCTAAAGATGCCATCACACCAAGACAACAGGAAGCAGTCTAGACAACATGATACACACATTCCCAAGAGATGGAGTGCAAGGCTTTTGCTCATTTGGTGGGTTATATATGCTTGCCATTGTTTAAGGGAATTGGTTATAAGTTGTTAATGGTCATGTTCAGGAAAAAAGCTGAACAAAAGAGGTTAGATTCAGGGATCTCTTTCTGAAGGGATAAAGGGGGCATATAGTATAGAAATTATGGATTAAAAGGGTGGATTTATTGTCTGCTTTTGAACAATCATTGATCTCAAATATTTTACATTGATATAGATTTTTGTATATTGATACAAATTTAAGGTTATTTTTGTTAGAATATACTCTATATATGCTTCTATTCTTGTTTAAGATATTTTTGTATATTAATAGAAATTTAAATTTATTTTTGTTATACTATATATGTTTCTATTCTTGTTTAATGTATTGTACCTATGCAACTCATTTTAAAATGTAAAGTTATAGTCCTTTTAAGCTACTTAAAATAATTAGGAAATGCAGATTAGTAGTTAGTCATCTATAATAATCAAACTTGTAATCATGTTAGATATGTTTTCAAGGTTAAACAGAGATATAGTTTAGATAGATAGGTGATCTTAAAATACTTCAAAGACCTACAGAATATGGCATTTAAGATGTTTTAATAACATAAGGATTTTCAAGACAGTGAGACATGTCGGCACCAATCTACGTCAAAAAAGGATAATCATCCTCTAAGAACAACCTATGGAGTTTGCTTTTATTGAAGCAAAGCTAAGCACTGGGTAAGAAACTGCCCTTGCCTTAACTGCTAACAAGTATGCTGTTCAAACTGGACATGCAAGACACAAAGGAAAAGGCCTGCCAAACTTTGCCAAAACAAGGTGAAATAGTTTTTCAAATTTCCTGCTTTATAGAAAAGTTTTGCAGATCATCTAGGCCTGTAGGCCAAAGATGGATGCCCCAGTGTTTCAGAGGAATCTTGAGTGACTATCCAGGCAGCCAGATGTCTCTATTGTTTTTATAGTTTAGGAAGTTGCTTTCTCTGCTCTTCCTGTTTACCCACTTCTAGGGTCTCTGATGGGGATTGAAGACTAGGTAGTTATAGTTTTATAGTTTTTCTTGTTAACAAATTCAGAAAAGAAATTTACATAAGAGAGGTAAAGTTTATAAGGTTGAGAAACATAAAAGCTTAAGTTGTTTATCTAAAAAGATGTTTTAAGATCTAAAAAGATTTTTCTTTAGATATAAAAAAGATTTTATTTTAATTTACGGAACAACCACAGTGTCTCCTGCCTCCTCTCTTCCCATTCCCTCCCCCAATCTCCCTTGTGCCCACTCCCCATCCACTCCTCCTCCATCTTCATTCAGATGGGCTCCCTGCCAGTAGTTCTGTGCTGTCCATATTTAGGACAGGTCTTTTTCCCCTTGCCCAGGTATCTTCCTCCTGTGCTAGTCATCTGTATACACATACTCCTGACATCGTCAGAAGTTTGACTTTACTAAAGAAGCTTTACTAATGCCTTGGGCATCTCTCAAATTCATAATCAAAAAGAAGCATGGCAGGAAGATTAGCGTCATAGAGGAAGATACAGAGGCACACAAATGTCTCTTTGAGGGAGTTTGGCCTGAAATCAAGATCATCACTGAAGGATACACTTGTCAAACTTGCTACATTCACATTAGCCCCATCATCAGCCACACATCCTTTGGCCAACATTACTCAAGGAAATGCAGAAGTTCAAGGTCAATGGGAAATTGGCATGTTACTTTGTACTATTGGTATTGGCATTTGATTACTATTTTTCTTCCTTAGGACAGCCACAATGAAGTGCCGCATACCAGGTGGCTTTCAGTAGAAAATATTTGTTATGTCACAGTTTTCAAGTTCAGAGTTCTAAAATGAAGGTGTCTGTAGGACCATGCTTCACCCAATGTCTCTAGAGGGGAACCCTTCCATCCATGCCTCTCATAGCTTGTAAGAAGAGTCTAGCAAACCTTGGTTTATAGATGGACCACTTTGATCTAAGCCTGTGTTGTCACATGACTGATTTCACACATCATGGCTCCTCTTTTTTTTTTTTCAAACACACTAGTCAGATTCGAGGAAAAGCCCACCCCACACCATTGCCACTTCAATTCTAATTATTATATATTATTTCCAAATAAAATTAGATCCTGAGGTCTGGAAATTAGAACACCCAACATGTGCTGTAGGGAGGCAAAATTCAGTCTACAGTAATTCCTGATTTTTCTAAACTGCTTTGAATTAAAGAAAGCTGTTCATTTTGGATGCATATAGTCTGCCCCTTTCCTCTTCCCTTACGAAGAGTGGGCATCTGAAGGAACCTGGTGAGCCTCGCACTCCACTTCCCAGCTGCCCTTGATTATAGGTCTACCCACAAGGCTGCTTCTCGCCTATCGCCTGTGGATAGAATGGAGGTTTCTCAGTTCATCTTGGAGTGTCAAATAAACTGATGCAAGGACAATGAAATAGCTCAGTTAGTTGGTCAAGACACTCACTGCCAATCCTGATGACCTGATTCCCCCGACCCACACAATAGGTGAAGACTGACTGATTCCTGAAAGTTGTCCTCTGACTTCTACACTATAAGCTAGTATGCACATACATGCATG